TCTCTCTCTCTCTCTCTCTCTCTCTCTCTCTCTCTCTCTCTCTCTCTCTCTCGAACATCTGTGCTCATGCTTTGGAGACGGAGCTGCGCAGTGCGAAGATATTCCTCGAGGTTGCGAACACATGAAAGGCGATAATTTAAAAAAAAAAAGAAAAAAAAAGGGACGGTCCTGTGCCGCCCGAAGGACGCTCTCCCTTCGGGCGCTCTCCCTTCTGGTCCCTCTCTCCATCCCCTGTCTTGTCTCACCCTCTGTCAGACAGAAGAGAATTGAAGTGGAGAATACTCGGAGAGAATCCGAGTACCCCTCCCCTTCCCTATCTGACCACACAGTCCGAAGGAACGGCTGCCGTCTTCACCCAAATAGAACGCCCGGTAATTATCGTGGTATCTGGACTGAAAGTTGGGCCAAATGCACAGCTATAATGATCGGGCGTTCGATTCGGGTGAAGACGGTAGTCGCATCGCCTTTCTTATCAAGTATTCATGCGCAACTGCGGCGGCTCTTGCCTTCGTTTGTCCGAGCGGTGGCTCGGTTCTACTCACCCAACAAAATGGGGTGAATGGTGCAGTCAGTATCCATAAGTGCCAGGAGGAGGTTGAGAGAGAGGGTGATCGCTACGCGTGCAGAGGCGTGCAACCAACAATGCATTATGGAGAATTATCATGGCGGCTGTTGCTTCCTCGGCGGAGCGAGGACGGACGGGACCTTCACTGAATGTGCGACTACATGGCACCCAGTCAATCTCTTCAATTTGGAGCTGAGTGGCTCTAATGTGTAACGTATTCTACGTCGGGGTGTCCGCTCTGCGGAAATAATTTGCTGTCAGCTTTTTCACTCAGCCAGAAGCTGAACAGGATCGTCGGTACGTAGAGAGTGAAAAGCGGCAAAACATTGTGAATTGCAGGATATCTGTAGTGAGGAGAAGAAGAAGAAGAAGAATGAAGAATGAAGAAGTATTGTCAATGTTTCCATGACGGTTGTCTCGAAGAAGTTGGCATGAGGCCTCAGGATGGGGGGGGGGTGGCATGTTTTGAGAAGATCCTTTTTTAGAAAGTGCCTGATAGATGTGGGATCTCTTAATCTAAGTAAGTGCCTTCTTTGGTAATTTTTCTCGTCTGTCCATAAGCATAATGTACCGCCCATCTCCTGGTGGAGAGAGAGAGAGAGAGAGAGAGAGAGAGAGAGAGAGAGAGAGAGAGAGAGAGAGAGAGAGAGAGAG